TTTTGAACAGTTGTATCCCATGACTATAATGTTATTGCAATGAAGCCCATATCATAATACCATATACATTACTACTGTCCATCCAACCAGAAGCTGTTTGCAGAATATATAAAAAGAGACCTCTGGGCTTCAAAGTTAAGTATCCTAATTATTGGCTGGGAGTAACAGGTCATTTTTGTCGTGATAACCTGCAACTATTCCTATGGTGTCCCAGAAGCCATAGGAGTTAGAGATAACACTAATACCTATCTGAGGGCCACTGTATATTGGTTGGTCCTTAAAATAGGATCCCTCCAGAGGCGATTCTCTTGGAGGCGAGGTGGACTGAGGGGAAGCTGCTCAGACTCAGAAGACCTAATAGGTGGTAGATATAAAGAGAGGGGGGGGGGGCAAAGAAAGGTTAGATGGAGGAGAGGGGGGCGAAGTATAATAGCCATTGATCAAGGCAGGGATAGGTAGCTCCCGAGCAGCCCCCGTGAGTTCGTGGTCCTGCCTGGGTTCCTGGGGTTGTGCTGGCTCTCCGGGGTCTAGTTCTGTACCATTTTTGTGCTCTCTCTTAAGGGTGGTGGGAATAGGAGAAGTCCCCTCAATGGGCGGAGACCGGTGGGGTCTGTTCGAGTCGGAGAGCGATGTCTCTCTAACAGCCGATACAATTGATCTGCTGGGAGTGGGGAGTGATGTCTCCCTAATGGGATGGGAAACAGGCACACTAGGAGCGGGGGGTGGTGATCTCCTAGGAGTGGGGAGTGATGTCTCCACAACGGGATGGGAAACAGGCAAAATAGGAGCGGGGGGGCGGTGACCTGCCAACGGGAAATACAATTGTTCTGCTGGAAGTGGGGAGTGATGTCTCCCCAACGGGATGGGAAACAGGCACATCAGGAGCGGGGGGCGGGGCGCCGCTGACTGGTAATAAAATAAATCTGCTTGGGGTTGAGAGTAATGCTCTCCCGGTGGGTAGCGAAACCGGCCTGCTGGGCGGAGACACACCAGCGGCCGATAAAGCAGATCCGTTCGCAATGGGGACCAGCGTTTGGCCGATGGTCAATGAAACAGATCTAGGAGGGGTAGAGAGAGACGTTGCACCAAGAAGTAGGGAAACCTGCCTACGAGGGGTGGTTGAGACCAAAGGGTGACCTAAAACAGTGCATATTATTCAGTGAGGAAAATGGTGAGCAGGTATTTCTGAATAAGGCGAAGAGGAAAAAGGCGAAAATCGGGAGAGTTTCCACCACAGTAGGTATCTGAAGAAATCGGTGAGAATTGAAGAAGTAAGAAGACGAGAAAAAGGGGAGCTAATGTGGGTCAAGTCGTGCTTTGAGGTAGTGGTGTGGAGGAAAGGAATAGAGTAGGAGAGATGAAAAACTTCCTTCTGTGTGGTATAGAGAGCGTAAGGGGAGAGTATGAGTAAGGATGAGTATTTGAGGTCAGGGCATATCTTCAACATCCATCTCCTGCGCTTGAAGCTCAACTTCCCGCCATTGAACTGCAACCTCTTTCAGTTGGATGTATTGCAACTGTCCGTATTGCGAGCCTTCAACGACTCTGTGTAAATTCCTCTCCACAGTTTAGCAAATGTGCCCTGGTACGTCTCCATGCTTTGGCCTTCGGGGCACTTTCTCCGGCGTTGAGGGTTACGGTGTATAGTATCCTATAAGTTGTGGAGACGTGTAGGTCAGTTTTAAAACTTGGATCACTAGTCTATTCTATCGGAGGTGGTAGAGAAAAAGCTGTCGTTCACAAGAGATGAGGTGCTAAGAATACTGCGAAATCTATACTGCTCAGTACGATTGATCTCATATGTGGATAGTGAAAGCGAGGACATTTTGATGGGAGTCATTTACTCTGGGGGAATAGGGGCCATGCTCTGAGGTGCGGGATGACCACATCGGGAGAGTGCAAGGCGGGAGAAAATCCCCAAAAATACGAATACCTCTCCCTCACCCTTAGGACATTACCTGTACTGAGTGGTATTTCTCAAAATCGGAAACTATTGCGATATTTGTATGATACAATAATTTGGGGGATTTTCCTTAAGATTTGGGCGGAATGCATGATGCAGTGATTGTAGCTTAGGTCAGCAGATTATCGGACTAGAGTAGGGATTTCTGATGTCTGTGAATAGGGTGTCCGATGGATGATTCCCGCTGGGTGGCCCACCTTGGTCTACTGACATAGATATCTCTCCAGGATGAGTTGGAAATTTGAGTACTTCCAAATTCTGTATTCTCTGCCAATGACCTGGAGCCCACAACAGACTGTGACCACTATTCAGAATACAATTACATCCTCTTTGATTAGGAGCAGCTGTCTGAGCAGATCAGCAAGCTATATCCCCCTTGTTTCTGGTTGGTAGCAGCCGGCTATAATCACTCCGTTGAACTTCGAGGGGTTTCTCTTGACGCGATGATTATAAATAAGTTCGACTTTGGCTTAGCAGGAAAACAGAATTCGATAACAACCACCTCCACACATCTCCCGAATCACACCACATCTTTCACGCAAGCTACCGAAAATCGAAATAGTTCACAAAATTGTTAAACATTTTACAAAATTCGGGAGGTATTCGTACAATGTAACATCATGAACACTCCTCCTCATATCTCGGCTAACCGGGTCCATGACACTAAATGCGCAAGGCCTAATACATGATCTAGTAGTGGCGCTAATACCCTGGGCGTTATCTACTCTCCGCAGAAACCTCCCTCGTACCACCCCCCCGGTACCCGCGGTGTGATCTACACGCATCCGCTGCTCCATCTCCTCCCCGACAGAGGAAAGGGCGGCGTGATCCAACCACTGCTCCAAATAGACTACAATCGAACACCCGCCAGACCGTAATTTGGAACTCCCATATCTGTATCCTGCTACGAGAAGTTAGAAGTTGGTTGGGCCGGAGGTCAGGGACACCTCATTTTCTAAAATGAGCAAGTGGTAGCTGCCTCCACTTAATGAAATTATGTAGATGATACCTCATTTGGCGCTCCATGCGCTAAGTGTGGAATGGGGCATTGGAACTCCCTTTCTTCCAGCTCATTTCGCGTATACTCAGAGGTAAGTACCCAGTCCTCCTAAATAAATCATCAATACTCCCATAGCATATCGGGCGGTGTCAACATACCATTTCATCCTTGGCCGCTAGTGGATCTGGAATCTCATACCCCGCATCGTCCCACTATAGTGATAATAATCAGCCCTCGTAACATTACCCAGGGTGTCAGAAAATCTACCTGCTCATCGAATCTGGAATAATCGAAACTCGGCTCAGGATCCCAGTCCTTAAGTTTCTATCAGAATGAGGTTCTCGGAATTAAGAGAGGGAGGGGAGAAAGGAAGCAAATATTAATCACCATCTCCTCATATCTCTCTTCTCCGTCGTCGAGATTCATTGGCGTTTGATGTGGTCCGGACGCTAGACTACCTGATCTCGGGAGGGGAATGGATTTGTTAGTGTTAGGTGCCAAAGGACACCGACCCCCCTGGAATTTAGCAGAGGAGGGGCGGATTTCTGTGGATTCTGGGGAGGATTTGACTCTCAAGATTGATTTTGATTCTACCTTCACGGATGTGCGGGTGGAGGGTGTGATCGAGTCTGGGGGCGCTAAGGGGCCCGAAATCCCTGACAGGGTCCGGTCCGTAAAGTTGTTGGACGGTGCCGGGGAGGTTGTGTTTCGTAGGCTGTGGCTCATCCCCGCTGAGGAGCGAAGGTTATAATATAAATAAATATTTGATGTTGATCTCTTCCCAACAGAATAAATTGTTGTTTGTGCGGAAGAAAGGAAAGTAAAAAGGTCTTGAGGTACAGTACTCAAAGATATAGAAGGAGAATAGAAGGTGTCTGTTTCGGGGTCGCAACAAGAACAGAATCTGCTTTATTTCAAACCCTAAAGTTAGCATCCTGTTCTGATAAGAAAGAGAGGATGAAAATTTTATCACGTATGGTACTTCTTTCCGGTTATTTGCAGGTTTTTGCTAATATAATCATTCATTGTGATGGTATCTCGCTATAAACAAGGATAATAAATTTTATTGAATCACAATCCCAGGATTGGAACCGAGATATTAGTGATAGGCACCCTCCGAGTGATATCTAATGATCGCGAGAAACTGTCGGTGATCACGATGGTCCCAATGATACAACTTGAAAAAAGAAGCGGTATGTTGGACTCAAAAGGAGCAACGGGTTGAAAGATGTGTAGAGTTAGACCTAGTGGATTCTTCTTCCCCCCCAACCCCGAAAAACAACCACAAGATAAACCGCAGCCCGATTTTATCTTTCATTTTCCCAAGTTGGGTAGAGGAAGGGCGCTCGACCGCCTCGCTGCCGGATATTTGTCACCCAGGGGGGGCCCAACGAAACAGCTAACTCAGCCCCTCTATCGGGGGAGGATGAATTGACGCCCGTCCGACAGACTTGCCCGGTCTCAATTAATGTTTTGAAAAAAAAAAAAGCATTATTTGGCGCTTGTTATTCAAAATCCGGAGACCAAAGCTCGATACTAGAGGCTCATGTAAAAACAAACCTCTCAATAAGACGGTCTAGGGGGCGGGGAAATGGCCACCGATGAGCTAGCTCGGAGTCGCTAGTCTGTATCCTGCCAGATTAAAAAACCACGTGAGCGACCACATGCCGAGAACACTGCTATGAGTTAAGTCGGTTTAGTGGTACTGGTTTGTCTCACTCGCTTGATGACAAATCACTCCTCGAGAGGTTGGACGGTCCAACTGTTATCCCAATCGATATGGTCTTTGCATGAGTAAGCAGTACAAATTTTTCTGGGTTGCGGTATTAGACGTAGCATCCATATGTTAGACTCTTGGCAAAGCTAAAGTCTGGAATAGTGAGATGACAATAAATTCAATACTTTATACCGTTTTTGTGATGGAATAATACTCTTATTCAAAACTACTTCTTTACACCCTTTTAGCGAAAAGAAATAATAAAAAACTACTTTCAGATCCAAAACCAGTAGCGACGAGCTGCAGAAGTTTCAAATGCATCAGGGGGAAACAGAGATGACAATCTTAGAGGAATTTCCAATAGTTTCCTTAACATCAATCACCACTGTGCGCAACGTCGTGTTCTTGAAAATATCGTATTGAACCCCAGCAGCTGGGTCAATGGATATTCGAAGCGGAGATACGTCCACCTCAGGATCGTACCAAAGGATGACAGTATATATCTCACCTAACTCTGCAGCGGGATTGTAGTTGCTGTGTACCGGAGCAATTGTGACTGTCCGAGTGGAACTGGTTGAAATCGGTTGCGTTGTAGTCTGTTAAATGAGGGAGTGTCAGTTTGAATCCCTCCAACGTTAAGAGAGGAATACGACCTGGGAGATTGACACAGATCGGTACTCCCCCTTGGCCTCCGGATCGAGAACCTCGATATCCACGCCTTTCCTAGCTGCGGTCACCGCAGCTATTATCTCATACTGCAGGAGATCGTCGGGGGCGCTACTGCGACTGACACCGTCGTCGAGATATGTTATGTACTCCTAGGACGCGAGAGACCTTTAGCAGGCTATCATCGTCAGACACAACGGAGTAGTGGTGAGCTCGACCATGATCGAATGATCGATCAAATTGGTAGACCTTGACCGGGTGATAGAGCAGTGATCGAGTATGGTCACTACTCGAGCACGGTCACTGCTCTAGCATGATTGAGTGTATATAGAGAGTGATCGAGCATGATCGAGTCCGTCACTACCACGGAGTCACCTACATTGTCTCTCCCGGGATAGATATTTATCTTCATGCGGTTGGGGCCGTCGCGGAGATCTCCAATCCATTGTCTGACCCCTACCTGTGGAATAATAGCACCTGGTGTCCCAAATATTAGCTCTGGGTTCTAAAGGAGGATCAGTCGAAATTTAATACCCTCCCTGAGGTAAACCGGTGTAACAAATGGATAATCGCTATACTCATTGGTGATTCTTGCAGTATAGTTGATTACGCTACCTCCTTCAACTCTCGAACCAAGAGCAACACCCTGATTGTCCCACGGCCTCAGATTGGACGGATACCAGAAGTACATTAACGGAAGGTAGACATCTCTATTTTGACCGGGGTTCTCATGGCGACCTTTGATGATAGGGGCAACAAGAATGTCCTTCCGAACGACATACTGATCGTCGAGAAACCTCTGACTCTCATTGAAGAATGAAGTGTCTTGGGTATCTGTCAAAAGCTAGGAATCCGGAAATGCGATCAGCAATTCTACACCGCAAAAGAGACGCGCTGGATTGAAGAATAGCGTTTGAGGACAAACCATGGACCTTGCAATGGGGAGACCGTTAAGTTGGTTGTCAAACATGGCGTCATAGAGAACTTGGATGAGGGAGTATCGGAGCTCGACATAGTACTTGCAGATGCCCTGCACCGCGCGATATAGCCACCCTTGTTCGGGTTCCAACTCCGGGTGTTGCGCTAGATGTTTTGGGTATGCGTACGGTTCCTATTGGTGATAATCTGTAATTAGCGGCTCGGGAATCTGGGAATGTTGAATCGTAAGTAAGGATTTCAATACCTGAAACCACTTTCTGGTCTTCTTGACATAGTGGTTTCTGAACCAGGGCAGCAAGAAGGATCCAGCATACCAGCGAATCAGCAATTCTGGGTTGCAATACTTTTCCTCTTGCCCGGTGCTGGGATTGGTGTATGGCTCAAACCCCCCCATATCAGCTCCGGAGACACTGACACCATTTAGGCCAACCGAAAGAACCTGGGAAACTGTAATCTTCCAGAATTCCCATGTACTAGCGTTATCTCCGCTCCAGAGTCCCGCGTAGCGGTACATTCCTGCAAAGCTTCCGCGACCAAGAATGAAGTTGCGTTTGTTCTTCCGGGAGGGAAGCGATTCCTCCAAAGTGGCTAGACCGTGGGCAGTTGCTTTGTGGAGATTATAGGAGTATAGAGCCCAAATTTCGGTCGCAGTCTTCTCGGTTGGTTCGGCTGACGAGACAGCATCCGAGCTCATGAGCAGGCGGGATGGTAGTCTATCCCAAGAAAACATCTGGTAATTAGTGAAGGGCATTAACAGGTTTTTATCTTTGCTTACCCCTTCATATCACCATAGGACGAATGGATAGCAGGCGTAGTCATGTCTTGCCATACGAACTCAAGGCCCATGTCATAGAGGTAATGGTACTGCTTGCCCCACCATTCCCGGACCTCTTTTCTATTGAGATCTGGATAATATCCTGCCTAGAGAGATGATCAGAACTTGTTCACCCCCCCACACTACATGACAGAGTTACTTACTGTGCCATTGCCATATCCATAGCTTACACCTCCGTGGTATGGATAATCCTTGACGTTCCAGTTTGCCACGAAATCACTACACCGCAGGGTTAGCACCTCGAAGCAAGGAGTGAAAGTACATAAAAATTGGGTAAACATACTAATTATCCCCAAAGTCCGGTCTTATGTTAACGTCCTTGGGGTCCACAGTGTACCTAGATCCTCCACCGTAGCAAACGTACAAGACGTCTTCTGCTCTTCCGCTAGTCCCATCGATGTACCTCTTGTCTTTGATAAAATAACTAGCTCCGAAGGGGCGAGGTATTAGCTTCGAATACCTTGCGCCCTGGAGGGCAGAGACTCATCGCAAAAGTTTTGATTGGCCGTCAATACTTACCCTTTTTCTAACCCTTCTCTAAGAGTCGAATAGCCGCCTGCCCGGTCATGGATACTAATGACAGGGGTAATGTTGGTAGAGCATTTTATGCCGTTTTCCCGTAGCCTCGTGAACATGCCTTTAGGGTTGGGGAAAGTCGTCGGATTGGTTGTGAAGGTTCTGAACCCGTCCTATTAGAAATAAGAATCAGTAATTCAAATGGTCCTCGGCAGAGTTCTGGGGAGCATGCATACCTGGAAGTCAACATCGATATGTAGTCCGTCCAAAGGGATGCCGACACTGCGGTATTGGTCAAGGACAGCGTACAGATCTTCCACTTTCTGATACCCATAACCTGGTAAAAAGCCCGAAGAGTTAGCGGGAGCGACAACCAAATCGGAAAGAAGTAGCAGAAAGACTATCTCCGCGAACTCACAGGCTTGGTGGTGGCCCAAAACATACTTCGGTTTTAGTTTCGGTCTCCCTATAATGCTAGTATATAGCCTAGTTGAAAGGAGAAGGGTCAGCGAATACCAGAAAAAGAGGAGAGAGAGTCTTGATGGAGGGAGCAATTTAGGACGGACTAACCGAGTAATTTCCGGCACAGTGTCCGCACTGACCACGTAGATATCCATCCCATTAAACCTGGTTCCAAGCTTGATGAAGCCCGAATTGGTGAAGCCGAAATCGATAGCGATGTGGGAATAATTGTCCAAAAAGCTGGCTGTAACGTTGGCGTGCTCTGGGTTTGAATTGACGTCCATATAGAAGGGATCGGAGTGATATCTAGCCCGGGATGTGAGCTTATAAGTGCCACCCCGATCCGCAAGCGGAATACTTACAAAGGCTCACGGGCATCGAGAGGGCCCTTGCTATATACCTGCTGGTATTGCATGTTATCAAAATCTGCCGAAATTCGCCGGTTAGCAATGCGAAAATATACTACCCTAATCGAGCTTTATCTTAAGAGTCACTGACTAAAATAATTCATAAAGGTTGGAGTTTTCATGAAACTAGTTCCTCCTTGCTCCCCAAAGCCAATAAACTCCCCATGCCCAGCTTTGATAACATCCAAAACAACCTGCTTGACAACAGAGACCACCGGGTGAATGCTCCAGCGGAAGGTCTCTGGGGAGGTTTGCCAAACGATCTTCTCGGTCGCACGCGAGGCTGTTGAAGGTGCTTCCGGAATTGGGTAAAGGTCGGGCAACGGCGTCAACACTCGGACCGCCTACCACATCACTCGTGAGTACGCAACCGGGCCCAAAGGGGTAATTATGCGATCACCTGGATGCGAAAGGGGTCTTTGTGAAGGAAAAGCTTCATCCCATCCCCAGTTTTATAATATTGCTCTTTCCCCTCTCTTTCCAGAGCCTCCGTGACAGTTGACTAGTGCAGACGTGGGTTAGGCTAATGTACAGTACTGTACAGGCAAGCACAAGAATTGAATCTCACCGAAAAAATCCAATACTTCCGATCTGCAGACTCCTTAAGCTTGGTGACCCAAGTGATGCCCGCGAAGGCATCCAGATCATGAACAAGCTGGGACATGTAGTCCTCAATTATGGTGCGGCTATTGCCACGGCGTAAAGGACATGATTAGTCGGCACCGACACCTAACCGATTGGCAGACTCGCTTACCTATTTGCGTCATCATATTCTTCCCGGTTTCCGACAGCCGGATCATACCGAACCCTAAAAAGGGTAGGGCGAACAAATTGAACAACACAAAGTGTTTTATCGTTAAAAGTGAGAGTCACCCCGTGCCAGTACTCTGGCTGGGCAGCGGTGGCTGGGGTTTCTTGAGAAAGCGAATCTATCCGAGTAGGCCCGGTCCAACCTTTGGCCCGCCGATAGTATTCCTCTGCGGTAATGAAGTTGATAGGATCATCCATGACGACCGACCACTATTCGGGGTAAAGGTAACGTCAAAGGGGTAAAAAGGATGATGTGAGAAGGTGGAGAGAATTGAAGGGGGGGATAAGGGAGAAAGAGAAGCCTGGTGGATTAATCAACAGACGGGGGAGAACAGGGGCTTAAATAGCAAAAACGCTGAGAGACTTCGGGCAGGAAAACTTACGAAATATGATAGTAGTAAACAGACTAGTTCGTTCGTAACCACCATGGGAAATATAGAGTTGAAATACGAAATCTACCTAGATACAAAACCATGCCTCGAGAGCAATTGGACCGGGGATCGCATCCGGGGGTTGGTTTGAGATCTCAAGTTGGTCCCAAATTGGATTCGATGACAATAGATTAAGGCTCGTCACCGTCAAGTTCGTTCCACACTGCCGAACTAATACAGCCTTCAAACTTGATAGCAATCCATATTCCTCGACGATCTGCGGGCGACATATGGTTCCGTTCCTAGGATTCCGCATCCACCCCGTCACAAAAGAGCGAGGGTTCGACTGTACTCGAGTGCTCGAGTATAGTGCTGCGACATGGATAGTGTTATCCAGACATGTATCCCTGCGTGAAGTCTCATAGCTTTGTGCGACGGATATGCGCCGGGCTCCTTTTGTTCGCCCCCCTGGACGGTTTGGCGGATGGTGCAAAAGCGCAGCAAATGCCCTCAAAAATCCCCGATTCAGAGGTAATCACATTCACCATTCACACCAGGGGATACAATGCTGTAAACTGCCGCCCAGATCCGAATACTGGGGCGGGAATTGTGTAAATTGGGTGAATCTATGGTTGCTCAGTGGACTACTCTCGTAGGTGGTCTAGCTGCGATGCACATCGCTTCACTCCAGTCTGTTGCTCGAAAAGTTGCCTGCAGCCACTACATGAGAGATTTTCAAATGGTGGGGAATAACGGGAAATACTTGTGGCACACGGAAATAGTTCTGACATGGATGCGCCTCCACATAAGAATGCTCTGCACGCTAGGTTTGCAGGATGAGACCTCGTACAGCATCCTGTCTCTCGATGTTTATCTGTTTAACCGATCATAGGGCATTCGCCCCACTATTGTTGCAGACGCCCTTCTCTTGATCTTCCCCCAAAAGAACGAGATGCTCGGAGTAGGAGCTAGTGTTTTGTTCAACATAATTTTTGATATATACCCATCCCCAATGACATCGTTAATCCATTTCCTGCCAAGCCCTTATTCCAGTCAGGTTAGCTTGAGGGGTGGTGTGGCTAGGAGTTGAGGCTGGTTCCGTTGCGATGCCCGAAATGTCGGGATCTGTGATAGTAGAATCTAGTATTGTTTCCCCTCGCTGCCTGATCATACCGTTATCATACGTCGCACAACCACCTACTATACCCCACTTTTTGCACGAGCAATATTCCCGGATCTGAGATGATAAGCTACCCGCCAGCCGCCATCAATGTTTCAATTATCAAGTACCTCCTAGCCAAAAAAAAAAAAAAAAAAAAGTGTTGATTGTCCCTAAAGTGACCAACCCTTTAGCAACGCCCAAAACACTACTCGAGTGTTCGAGTACTATTTTGCAATTTGCTAATTAAGTTACTCAATCCCGAAATTCACTTCAGATTCCGATATCTTCATTTGGCTTGATGTCGTTGGGGTTCAAAATAGTAGAGCGCAGTGGTTGCTAGTGGCTTCTTTGGGTTTATGGACAATCCCGAGTTTTTTTTTGGCTGGAATTATGTACTGTACCCTGCTACCACACACCGGAAAGTGCGGTGCCGCCATCGGATAACCCGTAGCCCGTGCGGCGGGGTCCCTTTGTTCCTACTGTCCTACCCACTACTGCTCGGTGACATTGAAGCATCCCTAGCAAGCAGGGCATAATGGAAGAAGGGAGGAAACAGAGCAAAGGCGGAATCGACATGTGTCTCTAGCTTGGTCGGAATACAAAGCAAAAATCCCTACCAAATAGCCGCATTACTACAAGCGAAGTGTTATAAGGTTGAAGACCTCATGCTAGCTGCGAAAAGAGCAAATTGTTTCCAACTCTCTGCCCTCTCAAGGTATCAGTGGACCGGCGCAAGTGGCAAAGTACTTGAGTATGATACTTGCACGGCACTGATACAAGTGTCATAATAATATTATGATACACACAAGAAGTACATTTAGGGTGTGCACGCCAAGCCGGGATCTACCCGTATTTATTTACCCTGACCCCTGACGGGTAGAATTAAATTACATGCATCATAATAATATTATTATAATAATATTATTATATTAATAGTAGCACGATTATCATACCTCCAGGATAATTTCCACCCATCGACTCCAATTGTCGACCGGGATCATGAGAAACTTTCGGCAAATTGCAAGTTCGAAACTCCACCCAACTTCTCACCGCGGGAGAGATAAACAACACCGGTACTAATCTCATGGTGCCGATTGTGCAACCTTTGCCATAGAGAGAATGCCAAAAGACGGGACTTAGCTTGCCTCAAATTACCAACTCGGGGGATGGGGGGAAGCGAGCCGGAACGCACGACATACGGCGAGAAGACAGTCGGGACCCCCCCCCCGACAAAGTTTGCTGCCCAATTCACGGTATTGATAGACTTGCAGTTCTGAAAGGGTGCAATACCGGTGACTTACCCCCAAGTTTCCGCAAAAGAACCTGTGGGTGCGGTAGGAAATCTCCGGTATATATCGAGAAATGTTCTAATCCTGCATGAAAGAAGAGATATCATCCCACCCCCGAATGAAATACTTGGCAATTTAAAAGTCTCAGTACGCTTTTGCGCCAATACGAGTACTAATAGATGCAAAGCGTCCGAAGACTTTTTGAATCTCCAAGTACATGCATAGCCGCGCATAAGCAAAGCAAGCAATTGCTGTAGTGTGACCGCATTTCAGCATCGCCGTTGTGCTGCCACATTGACACAAGTGCTCCTACTAGTAGATCCCTTTCCTCTGAATGATGCTAGAATTGGATGTGGAAGTGGGCGTTTTCCGACTCCCGAGACAATTCTCGTATCCCCATCACCAGAAGTTTAATGGTGCTCGTTCCGAGTCTCTCGCAACATCAAGTACTCACTATTGTACGAGTACAGTACAAGTATGCCGGGTTGAAATAAATGAATTATCCGAATTCCACAACCTCCATATTTAGCATGATATTCCACATCTCGGGTCATCCCCTGAACTCTCGGAGGCTTTGATGGGGGCCCGTAGGGAACCACGCCTCGGATATTCGATCAATGAATCAACCGATACTCTAGCCTGACACTAGATATTCCTCTGTGGCTCGCATAAACCCTGGCTATTCCTGGCCTCGACACCTTTGAATTTAGCTACTTGCCATTATAAATCGTTTGGTTGGGCTCGCCAGCATCCGTGCATCCCACTTGGAGGTCTTAATCAAACCTACAGTATCATGTGCCCCAGGAGGCAATTCACTTAACCCTCCGCATTATTTATAGATGCATCCCAGTGGTAGTCAAGGAGTATTCGCGCAGTCCAGCTTCGCTCCTCTATCGCGCGAACTCCCTCTCCTGTCGTTCTAACACCCCAACGCCTTTCCCACTCCAAACACACACTCCGCAGGGCAATGCACTGTTGACACTCTTCGACCCTAAAATAGTATGATATTAGAGTGGAATGCCGGATGGTATTCACGGGTGGACGGCTGGCTACTGTAGCAAATGTTTGCGACAGTTTGGGCGAGTCACGGGAGTGCGTTTAGGGAGACTCGCTGCGGAATATTAGCATCAACGATGCGCAGACTGGTGACGAGTTCAACTCTTGATACAGTCTATCCAGCATGCCGAGGGTGGAACGGCGGACAGAGTGAAGTTTAGCAATAAGGGACACTGAACCTGCAGGCACTCTTGCCAGGCATTTTGGGGGGTTAGATGATCAAGGCCATGTAAAACAACAACAAAATACTCGTGCTTCCCCACTTATGGTAGTGAGTACAGTTAAGCTTTTTTTTTCCTACGGAAGAAGTATAGTGCATACGGAAGGCAACTAGCAGGGGGTCTAACTATCTAGTTAATTCGGGTAGATGCATACAGCTGGCGGGTCATAAGGGCCAGGAGACGGACAGCCGTGTGTTCAACCCCTCGAAGAGCCAGTGCTCTCATTAGATCGGATTCTACTGAACACCGTGGATACTTGGTGGAACAGCGGGCTCTTCATGAATCCTATCTCTAACCTAAAATGTTGCTAATATATCTTGAATGCGGTGACTATGTATTTAGGGAGCATTCCTATTCATATCACCCCGGACCATCAATCCTCCGACCGTAAGATTTATCTCTTACCAGTAAGGGCCCAACCCCAACCACCCATGAAATTTGTCTAGATATTTCTTCCTTGACCTGGGTAGACTAATAGCTGGTTAGGTTTAGAAGCCATCCGAGTGCACACGTGCAGTGCAGTAATAGCTGTGTTAGATAACTTAGAAAGGGACTTTCCATGGGGCATCCTGGATTGAACCATACGGCGTTGGACATTATTGCCACATACTTACTCCATCTAAAAGGTCTCCGATGATGGTTGCGCAATACCAATACACTATAGTCCTTTGGCAGAAAGGGACTAGAGCGCTCTCTCTACTAAAAATAGAGTATTCGAGGCTTGGCGGAGAGGTACGGGTAATACTTTACCTTTAGAGTTTATATAATATCTCCACTTCCCTGAAAACTCGGAAACGTACCTGCGACAACGACCGGCGAACTACCGTCCTCCTCCCGATACAAATTTTAACCAAGACTTGCGGGAGGGCAAACCGCCCTAGAAGACATATATGACATTGTCTTGTTGGTATCACACCTCTGAGATTATATCTCCAGTCCTGCTTCTCATAAAAAAACTTCCCCCATCGTTCCCCTGAACACCCTGTCCTCCACCTCCCTTCGCGGAATAGTCCCCCCGCCTATCACGCCTACCCCTTCATGCCATAAATTCCTTGCTAGATACTGGTAATTCCCGATTTACCCGCCTAAAAAAGTTACC